CGTCGATGATGTTCTTGTCACTGGTTCTCATGAGGATGATATAATTGTTGTTAAGCATTACCTACATAAGGTTTTCACTATCAAAGATACAGGATAAGCGAAATACTTCTTGGGATTTGAGATTGCACAAGGTGAAGGGGGAATGTATGTTAATCAGAGAAAGTATATTCTTGAATTAATTCATGATGCAGGACTGACAGGAGCTAAACCAACTCAGGTGCCATTTCCAAAGGGTACCAAACTAACTAATCAGGTAGGTTTTTTACTTCCAGATCCAGAGAAATATCAACAGTTGATTGGGAGACTTCTCTACCTGAATTTAACAAGACCAGATTTTACATATGGAGTTCAGCAGCTTAGTCAATTTGTCCATACACCATCTGAATCACATTGGGATGCTGCTATACACTTACTAAAATATCTGAAAGGTTGTCCTTCGAAAGGCCTTTACTTCCCTTCACAAAATTCCCTTCATTTACAGGCCTATGCAGATGCTGATTGCGCTTCTTGCCCGGATTCCAGGAAGTCTCTTACTGGTTATTGTGTCTTATTGGGATCGTCTCTTATCTCATGGAAAACTAAGAAACAAACTACGGTTCCGCGTTCGTCGGCAGAGGCAGAATATCGAAGCATGGGAAATACAGTTTGTGAGTTACAATGGATTACTTATATTCTGACTGATCTCCACATCCCGTTTACACTTCCTATTTCTTTATGGTGTGATAACAAAGCTTCTCTCCACATCACTGCTAATCCAGTCTTCCATGAACGCACGAAGCACTTGGAAATTGACTGTCATTTAATTCGAAATCTGTATAAATCCGGTTTCGTTTTTCCTCAATATATTCCATCCCATTCTCAGCTTGCAGACATCTTTACAAAAGCTCTTGCTGCTCCTCTCTTTTCTCGTCTTCTTTCCAAGCTGGGGTTGGGTTATTTACACCAACCTCCACCTTGAGGGGGATGAAGAATCATGCAAGCAAGCTGAGCAACGGAGTTGATGAAGAACGATTGGGCCGACTTGCAGAATTTTTGGGAGCCTAGTTTATGAAGCCCAGTTAGTTGTTATTTCATTTAGCCCATTTAGTGAATAAGAAAACGTATGTTGCTTTCACGTTTTTGTTAGTTCACGTTTTCTAGGTTAGTCAGTTAAATTTGTTAAGCTTTATTTTTGGTTGTTGTACTGAACCATCTCTATCTATATGATGGTGATCCATTTCAGTTTTAATGGTTAAGAATAATTGATTCTACAGAAATCATTCTTCATTCTTGCTTTGTTCAGTCTTCTACCTATAATTTTTTTTTTTTTTGGTGGTTTTCAAATCTTTTATTGTGGCGGCTAATATTCAATAAATCCGATTTTTCCTCGAGTCATGACCTTCTAACCACTCGTCTTTGTGCTACACAATCATTTCCTCTGGTCGACTTGGCCCTCTGGTACGCCCTAGGATTTTGTAAGACCTAAGTTTGGAAGACACATACTCACTAGTTTGTCACGAAGTATAGGGACGAGTTACTATGGGGATAGAGGTTCACTCTGAGGTTTCAGCCACGCCTAACACCTACTGCCACGACACTTCACACAATTAATGTTTGCTGGAAATTACATGGTTATCCGAAGTGATTCAAACTTAAGCAAGCAGAAAGGAAGAAGAAGAAATATGTTCAGGTTGCCACGTTGATATCTCTTTGTCTTTTGTATCTTATTCTTCCCAAGTATCCCCTCATGGAGGATAATCTAACAAAGATTGAAATGGTAGAGAGAGTAAAAGTCTTTACTACGTGAAAGAGATCCATTTTGTAATCATAATTCAACAAATGTGTATCCAAGTAGAACCATGCTTCATGTACAGAAGCATGGTTCTACAAAACACCATCAGATACACACAATGCAAGGGGGTATGTGGATTTTTTTTTTCATTTTTTATTCCGGTGGGCCCCACACATGTGAGTGGGTGTAAAACATCTGTAAAAAAAAATTCTGTACATATGATTTTTCCCATCCAATTAACGGGTCATTCTATACATTATCATTCAAATTGGGCATGTGTAATATCTATACACCAACTTAAAGAGGAGAGTTTGAATAAGATATCCATTTTAACTTGTATTCCATCCAGGGACGGATCCAAAATCCGACGAGCTGGCGCGGCAACCCGTGCCGAATCAGCCAGGAAAAGGAAGTGCAGATCATATGGAAGGGCATTCACTTTCGCCCTTCAGATACAAGGGTTTGATTCCCTTCAATGGAACTCCTCTTTTCTATTTTTAAACACACTAAAAAATAAATAAACATTTACTAATAATTGTCCTAACCTTCAACAAAAAAGAGTGTATTTCATATAGTAGTGGGGTCACTTTGTATGTGAGAGATATGGGGTTCAATTTCATACACTTTCACCTTTTTGTTTAATTTTTCAATACAATAAATAATAACTAAAAATATATATATTATTAGTTTTCGTTTTTCGAATATTTTCTTCAAAAAAATTTATTAACTCAAATTATATCAATTGATTTTATAAAATTCAAATTTAGAGAATCTAAGTGCCTCTCTTTATTCTTTTAAGTATTCAAAAAATACTTGCTTTTGGAATAAAAATAGTTCTAGTTTTAAAAATCATTGTTTTCAAAATTTTGTATAATCTTCACCTAAACTTGGAACTTGTTTTTATTGTTTAATCATGCTTTACGTATAAACTTCATTTTGTCTCATTTAAGTTCATAAAAAACTTAAAACTTGATCATATATATATGATCGAAAACTGTATTTATTATTATTATTATTTTGGATTGTATTTGATTATATTTTCAAATGCATATGACTTTTACGTTTTAGTATATTTACATATTGGTTGAATTTTTTAAAATATTATTTAATTAAATATTAATAAACAATCTTACTATTGCGGCCGTCAACGATCAACAACTGCCCTAGCCCACTCAATATCCTGGATCCGTCATTGATTCCACCTATCCTATATTCTAGTCTAGACAGGAACTAATGTCGTAATAGAATAATATTATTTTTTTTCCTTTTATAGATAGGATTGCACTAGTATATACAAGATTGATAATATGAATAAAATTAGTAAGTCTACATTTTACCTATATAAATATGTAGGTTTTAATCATGTACCAACAAAGATAGAAACAATAAGCGAAATTGGATTCTAAACCCACAAAGGAAAATGGCAATTGGAGAAGATGAATCAGTACCGCCCCCTTCGCCACCTAAAAGAAGAAGAAGAAGAAGAAAATAAACGGAAAGATGGTGTAAGTTCATAGTTTTGAGAATTCCATCTAGTGGCAACACTTATCTTGAAACCTGCCTATCAGTAGAAAATAATGAATAATAGGAGCAAAAAAAATAAAATAATGAAAGACACTGTGATATCAATATAAGACATCACAAAGTTGAGGCAACAACATTATTCACCAAGAAACAACCATCACAATGACAACTGTACAGAAGCAATGCTTTTAGAAGAGTTATAACCAGGAAAGAAGCCTCAAAATACTGAAACAGATGAAATCATTGTTAAAGCCATGACCGGCATATTTCAATATTAGCTCATAACACGCCTTTTTCCATAAACAGTGCTAGCCTAATACTAAATGAACTAATGACTTTTACGTTTTAGTATATTTATATATTGGTTGAATTTTTTAAAATATTATTTAATTAAATATTAATAAACAATCTTACTATTGCGGCTGTCAATGGTCAACAACTGCCCTAACTCACTCAATATCCTGGATCCGTCATTGATTCCACCTATCCTATATTCTAGTCTAGACAGGAACTAATGTAGTAATAGAATAATATTTTTTTTTTTCCTTTTATAGATAGCATTGCACTAGTATATACAAGATTGATAATATGAATAAAATTAGTAAGTCTACATTTTACCTATATAAATATGTAGGTTTTAATCATGTATCAACAAAGATAGAAACAATAAGCGAAATTGGATTCTAAACCCACAAAGGAAAATGGCAATTGGAGAAGATGAATCAGTACCGCCCCCTTCGCCACCTAAAAGAAGAAGAAGAAGAAAATAAACGGAAAGATGGTGTAAGTTCATAGTTTTGAGAATTCCATCTAGTGGCAACACTTATCTTGAAACCTGCCTATCAGTAGCAAATAATGAATAATAGGAGCAAAAAAAATAAAATAATGAAAGACACTGTGATATCAATATAAGACATCACAAAGTTGAGGCAACAACATTATTCACCAAGAAACAACCATCACAATGACAACTATACAGAAGCAATGCTTTTAGAAGAGTTATAACCAGGAAAGAAGCCTCAAAATACTGAAACAGATGAAATCATTGTTAAAGCCATGACCAGCATATTTCAATATTAGCTCATAACACGCCTTTTTCCATAAACAATGCTAGCCTAATACTAAATGAACTAACGTTTAATAAAGCTACTTGAGCTCTGTTTTTTTCCACAAATTACATTCAGAACAGTTGCGTTTGACCAAGCTGGCTAAAAATCTTATCTTGTTTATTTGCATTCAGTTCATCTAATCTATAGTACTGATTGCAGATGCATGGAAAGAGACAACACGAGATAACAAATCTGTCTATAATTGTGTCCCTAAAAATCCAGTTCAGAATTCTAACTCACTGAACTTTATTGACATTCCACACTGTTAATAATTAGAAGGGAAAATAAAAAGAAACGACGAACAATGGTCAGATAATATGTACCAACGCTGTTGATCCAATCACTATATGAGGACAACTTAATCCACAGACAGAAACAATCTACAGTTAATATAAAGCTTTTAGTATCCTCAGCTTGTTTCTTGAGTTTGAGGACGGTAAGATGCATATTATCACCAAATATGACAGGATAGGTGTACGCCACAGTGAAACCTAATTTACAGACTGGTGAATACCTTTGGACATTATAATGGTCTCCATTCTTCGATCGACTGTATAGCCTCGATGCACAACCTAATTAAAAAATAGAGACTGTCATTATTCAGCACCCGTATCTTCAACAGATTTCTTATACTCTGGCTTGAGCTCGTAAGTTCCTTGGTTGGTTCCTCTTTTATTGTATACACAGAGCTCATTCAATATCTCTTTCAAAAATTGCTGCAATAGAAGATGCATAAATATTAGGCCTATAAGGTTCATAAATTGAAAAACCCAAGTTAAATTGTTAACACACGGTTACGTAATGCTATGTGAGCTTGAATCAGGGAAAAAAACCATTGCGGAATCATGGTTTACAATATCATTTTCATAACGAGTTGTATTGATGATACACTTTCTGTGTATTAAGCTTTGATTAATATAATATTAGATTACCTTTCAAAAAAAAAAAAATTCATAACGAGTTGTGTTAGAATGGAAAAGGGTAAAAATCTAGGTAGGTATTTGAGAAGGCTTTGGAACGCAGTTAGAAACTCGTAAAAGTTTATCATTACTCAATAAATCACTTTAAGACAATAATTCAATTTTGACATATAAAAGGCAAAAATGTTTATTGAAATAATTTTCTATAATAACAAACTAAGCCTTATTCACAGAAAACATGTCGGCGCATGAATACATATTTTTGCCACTTAGTTGGATCTAGTGCTACCTCTATTGAAAAGATCAAAGAAATCAAATCTTTCAACCACACCAGGCCATAAAATTTAGGTCCAACTCTTTCTACTCAAATCGTATGAATGGAAACTTTTCTCAAGTCTACACAAGGCATGCCTCGACCACTTAATGTATTCATTTCCCTTAATTTATCATCAATCAATACTATGTCCATCTTTTAGCATACATTGTCATTTCTTGTTTTATTCATTTTAGCATGGTCATATATTCATCTCTAACATCCCCATTCCTAGAACATTAATTTATGGACATTTTATTCTTGAATGATCCAGCACTAAAAACGATAAGCATAGTTTATCTAATAACTGTGCAGTAAACATTGTCTTTTAACTTGATAAGCATCTTCTGATTCCATAGAATCTCAGTGTTACTTCTCCATTTCATCCAACTCACTCTGATATTATGATTTACATCTACAAGTCCCTCCTTAATATTCTCCATAAGCAAAGCTGGTTAATATCCGTCCAATAAAGCTTTCATTTTAACTTGACAAGCATCTTCAGAGTACATAGAATCTCCATAACACTGCACCATTTCATCAAAGTCACTCCAATCTTATGATTTACATCTTCAAGTCCTCCCTCCTGATTAGTCCTCCCTCATTAGCAATCGAACCTAAATACTCAAAACAATTATAGTGTGGGGGCAACGTGATCCTCCCAATGACTCCACTATCATGTTCCTTCCTGTTATGACCAAACATTCTATTTACTGTTTAATTCTCCTTATATAAAACTATTAGATTCTAAAGTGATTTTACAAAGTTAAAACATATAATATCATGGTATCACCCACAAGTGTCAATTAGTGGATTTTGACATAGTTTTGATTGATGTAAATAAGTGACTCCAAATTTGTTGAAACAAATCTCAGATTGTTGTTGTACTCCATAAATAGGGACAATTAACAATCTTCCTCTATTCATTTTCTCTCTTTAAGATCTCATTGAATGTTTTGTGGACTATAAAATATCAGAATCATCCAAGCACTTCCATACTTGACAGATATTCCACCCCAACCAATTGTTTTACTTTATCCTCTCAAAGCGTCCCTTGCTTTCGAGACCTGGATTCTTCTAGGATAGTTAACATTTCTATCTTTACTAGTTCAATGAATTCCCACCATCCTAGCTAAGGCTTTCAGTAAATAATTTACTAAAAGAATTCCTCAGCTTTATATGATATCGTCACCATGAATAAAAAACTCTCTAGCTTTCATCCTTAATACCCTCAACTTAGTTTAGATGTAAACTTCTTTTAACCTTTATCAAAACACTTTGTAAATAGCTTTCTCTTCATCCTTGGTTCCCATTTAACTAATAACTACACTACTAATATACCTCTGCCAAGAACTCAAGAGTTACCATCTTGTCTTCTATGCTCTTACCATCGAAGTACTATAGAGGCTAAAAGATGCGAAGAGCTTTGCCTCATCTTTTTTAAAGTAAAATAAAGGTATCATAATATATTGCAACAGAATATTTAAAAGTAAAACTGCCGATCAACAGATTCACCACACATATTTTGCTTTTGCATTTTCTACAAAGAGCCAAAATTTTAGAGACAGAGAGATTGCAACTTGCAACTAGTGGAACAACGATAATCAAAGACATACCGCAGGTTGATCAGTCTGTTGGACCAGCTGCTTCAGTGTCCAGTTAGGCTGCCTTTCAAAAAGCTTAAACATGATGTCTTCCAGCTCCCCACGGTCCCTTCTAGTTCTTTTCACATCTGATCCCTTAATTGGAGCAGCTTTCTTCTTATCCTGCACGAAGTCAATAAATTTTTAACTATAAAGTTCATGTAAGATTTTACGGCCCCTGTTTGGAACCCATTCTCTTTCTCATTTTTTTCTCTTTCTTTATTTCAACCACACACTTCAAATAAAATAATATTACACACAAATCTAAAACATTTCATCACTTTTCCACCACACATTTTTCCATCAATCACTATTCCAAAAATTTTCAACCCATTAAAAAGGGTGTCAAACACTCACACGATACAATCTTGAATAACTTAGTATAAAATTCACAGTGATATACACTTCAAGGTGAACTTATGCAACGAGAAATAAATTATCCAAGAAAAAGAATATTTGAAACATTAATCACATTCTGACCAAAAGTCCTTGATGCGGCAAAGGGTGATATACCCACGGAGCATTTCAGATTTGGAGATTTTTCTTAAACTCAAAAACTACTTTGTTCAAGTCCATGTGGAATTATTGGATTTTAGATTTAGCAAACATCCATACACCATGTGGTTCTGTCTGTCAGGGTCGTGATAGACCAATCATGCTTTTCAAGTTGTAAATGCATGCAGAATTCTACAGAACAATAAATATCTATAGCTTTCGGGAACAGGAAACCCTCAAACCTATAAACTGAACACACATCAACAATCCGAAAATCTTTTATGCTTTTTTGCAAGCGTCAATTTCACAGCAAGGTAATTCTTGGTTCTGTTAGAAAAAAAATTTCTAGCAACCTAAGTACCTAACAGTCTAAATTATGGATTCAATTTTTAGTATATTTATATGCACCTATAATTGATATTTCTGCATATTCCTTCGGACATCTAGAGTCTCTCACAACCTCAATTCTTTACAAAATCGCTTCACCCACCTGCTCTCATGATTAGATGGGTCACAAAATTTAAGGGTTGAACCTATTGTACGTACATGATACACAAGTCAAGTGAAATTTCTAATAGTCTAGAGTAGACTGCAATAATACCGGAGATATGGCATTCTCCCATGTACGTCACTTTTAAGCATGACAATTCATTCATCAAGAATGGCTTTTACATTCACTTGTGGCTTTTTCCATTGAGTATGTTTAGATTATATCCAGGACTAACCCAGCCTTAATTGAAATGAGTTGATCAGATAAGAATTACACCCCAACGTTTTTGGTACCTTATTGAAAAAAGAAATTACCCAACCTTTTGGTATACCAACAATGGATTAATTTTATATTCATTTTAGTTAAATTGGTAGGCTCGTCTTTATAATTGAAACATGGATGAACAAAGGGAGAAAATAATGTTTAGCCTCAGTTCCCAATAATGACGTAAATCCAAAAAATTGTCAACATAACTCCCTTTGTGGTAATGAGTAATGCCTCTTACTCCCCATCCTTACCCTAACTTCAAAAACCCTCATTTCTCCCTTCTGCATTTTAGAAAAGCTAATTCTTACTCAGTCAAAGAAACATAGTGTCAGCAACACCTGCCTCCAAAGTCCACGTTTCAGTAATTAAAGTATCGTACCAGCAGAATGTTTTACTGCTTCTCATTTCAAGCTAGGGTGAAAATACATGAACATCCAGAGATCGAGATAGCATGGTTTGTAAGTGCAACTCCTCATTAGACTTCTCCATGGTGTTTTAAAGTCAAAATGCCAAAATTCACATTTTATATAACAAAAAGCCCATGACCTAGGACATGCAAACTGATTTAGATTTCGGAGATCACTATATTAAAACCCTCTTTTCAGAATCTGATTAAATTGGAATCCCACCACGAAAAAACTACAACACGCCAAGTTTGAGATTCGTTAATGATCAGATCCTATCTTGATTCTTGTGGCTGTTGTTCCTCTAATTCAAGCAAAACACAAACATCTATGCCAATTACCAAATGTAAAGATATATAATGGAAGCTTTTACATTTATTCTCCATAATTTAAGATCTTTTAATATTTAACAAAATCCTCAAGAACTAACTACCACGCACATTTTAAGAAAAAAATCTCAATTACCTAATAACCAATATATACATGAGAAAATTTTATCACGGTATTAAAATTTGGACAGATTTTCAACTTTTAAAAGAAATTAATATTTTCACTTATTTTTTTCTATAATAATTGACTATGGATAGAAATGGGAATAGAATCATAATGAAGAAGGTAAATGTCAGCCACTAGATACCTTCTTCTGCAATAACAGTTTCTCATTACTTAGCCCTTGTTTGAGCCCCATTTTCCCAAAATTCATTTCTTCAAAACTCATTTCCTATCATACATTCTTTCAATTAATTTTACACATAAACCCAAAATTTTTCCTTACTTTTTAACCACACATTCTTCAAAAAATTACTATTCCAAAATCTATTACCCCATAAAAATGGGGCTCAAACAAGGGATTAATTTGACACCAAATATTTTAAATTTTTAAGCTAATATTTGACATGAATATCATAAAAAATCCTAAAAAATGACCATTTATGAACTAAACGACCAAAATCATAATACTAAAACATTCTACATATTTTTATTTTTCTTGTTCACAAGGATTAAAATAAAGGTTCAATAATTGGTAAGGTGTTTTATGAATCTTGGAGAATCAAGAGGGATAGGCCAGCAAGGCAGGTGTTAAGTTTTCCTGCATCAGTTTTATCCTTCCCTTAAAAAGAAAGTGAATAAAAAGATGCAACTTCATATGATAAAACTTTTTTGATGTCTTCTGAGATCCAAGTTCAAATCCATTCCCATAATCCCATTTACCTCTTTTTTTTTTTTTTTTTTGCGAAAACATAAAAGGGTTGACATGTGAAAACATACCAAAATGCTGGAACAAAAATATGAAGAAAATAATATAACTACCTTCAAAGTGGACGAAATCACGCCCAACATTCCAGGCAAGGGCCTCATGAGCACTCCACGATCATTATCGATCACCTATTTACCAGTTAACCAAGATAAAAGGGAGTTTTTCATGCAAAAGCATCAAAGAAAAATACCAATCACTACCGGAAAAGAAACTAGGAGAGAAGTGTCTGACTTGTATTTGCCTGTTCTTGACCATGGATTTCTTTGTCCTTTCACGGCATATTCTTCGATATTCTTCAATGTTCTGATGATGGGGCTTCATGTCAAATTTATGTTCCACTTTGCCTTCCATGGCAACTCTTCCTATGAGAAAGAAAATGATATAATAGAAGCACAGACAAACAAACAACTGACACGTGTTTCCTTCCAAGTTGATTCGACAAGAGGATGATTAGATTCCACAAGAAATTGGAAAAAAAGAAAAGAAAAAAGAGCTAAATTGAACTATTTCTTAGGCGTATCTAATTGAATACAAACTTCCCCAAGAAATAATTAAAGCGCATCAAATCAGTTATGCAATCATAAAGTAGCATGTCTGAGTAATTCATTTGTGCAACAATGAATAACAAAGAGTGACCTTGAAATGCAACATTGAATCACCTAATCTAAAAGCTTAAACTCTTAGAGGATCACATGTAAATCATTTAAATTATACTGCCTTCAACATACTCCATCAGCTACCAACGAGGATTACAAATTTAATGGGTTGCGACAAGACTTGAATCACACATTTGAACCACTTGATCTAAAAGTTTAAACTATTAGGAGATATCACACGTATATGTTTAAGTCAACACAACAACATGACGGAAGTCGTGTAGAAGTACTGGATCATCAATTTAGGGCAGGGCAGTCTAATAAAGAACGCCTATGAATCAATGATTTGGATGAGCTCGTTGGAATTCAGCAAGCCATGCACATCATAGACACTTCATAGAAATTCTAAGCCAACATGGAAAGTTCACCAGCTTGTTAACTAACTCCCCTGGCATCAGGATAGGAAGTTCTGAATCCGGTCTTTCCTTTCTATCATTTTAAGCATTGCGTAGACATTTGCACATGGTACCAATATTAAAGACATAAGTTTCTGCATTAGGGGAGAATGAAGATGAACAAAGATTCTCTCCTTCCGAAGGAGCAATGAAACAGTAAAAATGTAAGGATAAAAAAACATTTCTTTCTGCATTTAACCATGATTGAACACTTTGTGGATCCAACACTTCAAGCATAACGTAAAATTTTGCATCACAAATTAAGTGAATCCTCACTTCCAGATTGTAAGAAGACTTCATACAATCTCATAACAGATACGGGGATTGTGCACATTGCTTTTTGAAAACAACGTATGAAGTGCATATTTGGCATGGCTTAAAAGCCGAAAAAAATGCAGGCTCTTTTGGGCCTTCTTCAGCAGCTCCAAGAGTTTTATTGACAGATTCTTTTTGGCTTTTAAACAAAGTTAAAAATACTAAAAACCTATTAGAACAAACAAGGAAAGCAATTTTTAGGCTTTCAAAGAAAAGCTAAACATGCTAAAAACCAAACAGGGTAAAAAAAAAAACTTGGAGGTACGTGTCTTGGGATGTCAAAATTCCACTACACAGAACAAGTGAAGTTTTCAATCCTCGAAGGAGAAAAGAATACGCAAGTCAAGTTTGCACCTTGATTATTCTCCGAAAAAACGCACATGGGAACGATATCCTTGAACATATTCAGAGAGTAACTCTTTGGCACGTTCGCAACCTCATTTCCAGCCATCTCCATAGTATACTGATACACATAAAACTAATTAACAAAGCCATACAATTTTCTACAATACCAGGCACTAAAACCAAAAATTAAATTTCAAAAAAGACAACGCTAAATTAAGTATACTTCAAGAGACGAAGAACCCTCGGGGTTGAGGGGGTCGAGAGAGACGATGACTTTGGCGACAGGCAGAGAGTCGGAGGCCGCGGCGGCAGACTCCCATGCCTTGGAAACGACAGGAGGGCACTTCATCAGCCACGCCGATCGCTCGGCCTTTTCAGTATCCACGGTGCTGTAACTGTTGTTATTGTCGGTGTTGTTACCTTGCTCATTCTCCATGCTTGCTGCTCTCTGTGTGGGTTTCTGTTTGGTTATTTTTGGGTCCTGTTTCTGACAATGGTGGGTTTGCTGAAGAAGAAAACGAGGAAGACTGAATCGGACCAGGTCATGTGTTATCGGGTCGAACGTTCTCTTTGTCAACCGGTCAAATAACAAACTAGATAAAAATCACATTTTTAAATAATTTCAATTAATAAAATGTGCTCTTTATGGAATTAAAATTAATTATAATTTTGACTTAAAAAAATTTAATTAATCGTTTAACTGAAGAGCCAATTTTTTTTTTTTTGTCACGAAGCGTGAACGACGTGAGCTTTTTCTTATTTTGGGAAACTTTCACCATTGGAATGAATGCTTTCTTCTTTGTATTACAGTATTACTATTTTCTTTTAAGTCTATTAAACTACATGACAATATTTAGAGTCCGTTTGGTACAAATTTTCATTTTCTACAATAAAGTAATTCTCATTTTCTACAGTAAATCAATTCTCATTTTCAACCACACNATTTTTTATAGTAAATCAATTCTCATTTTCAACTACACATTCTTCAATAAAATAATATTTTCCATCACATCAATATTTTTTTCTTTTTCAACCACACATTTCCCATCATATCACTATTCAAAAATCAATTTTTCCCTCAAAAATTCTTACCAAACACACTCTTATCCGTTCTAAAGGCATTTTTCATTAGTACCTAACCACTAGAGCTTTGTAATTTATTATTATCTATTTGCAATAATATATCTTCTATACACACACACAATAATATGTGTGTGTATGTGTGAATCATTCATAGTTTGTTAAAAAATATTTTTTAAAAAAAATTATGGTCCTAAATTTAATTAAAATGAACTGAATTTTTAACAAAATAATTAAAAATATATAAATAATCAAGACAAATAATTTAAATAATGTAATTTTATCTCAAAGGAAATTTTATACTTAAAAAAAAATTTAGAATTTTGAAGTACCGACCCACCAGTCCAACCATTAACCTACCGATTTGACCAGTAACTCCAGACTCAATACTTTGACCGGGTTGATATCCTTAATAGCTATGCCTCTCTGCCTTAGCCCAATGCCCCAATCCAACCCACTATCAAACGAAAATGTACCCCATCAAAACCCAGTTCGACGAGGTTCACCAAAAGTTAAAACTCTTCTTGCTTGTTATCCAGGCTTCCATGGGAAGCAGCAAAACACCAATAATTTCTTGTTGCGAACTGCAGCAGAAGCTTGGGCTAAATTAGAAACTACCTTGGTGTTAATGTATTTGGGCTACTTCACTATTACTTGGCATGTTGGGCCATTTGTGCAATTGGGCCACATTTAAGTAAATACAATTTTGGCCTCTTCATGGTTGAGAATTTACCCTACACGTGGCTGCATTCTGATCCTTGGATTAATACGTGACTTGATCTTGGCACTTTGACTTCTTCCAGATGGTTCTGCTTTGAGTCTCTTCATTCTTCTCCCTTTTTCTGAGTGATAGTTAGAGTTTTCTCTTGTAAAATTTGTAATCGATCTTTGTGGTTTATTCGATCTCTGATTCTTTGTGGGTTTTGATTGTTGTGTACAGTCATTTAGAAATTAAGTGTTGTGTGATTACGTTTGTAGAAGAGGCAAGATCTTCGTACATTCTGTACTGATTCTTGGTTTGTTTTTAATGGATCTAAAGCTATATCTCATTGCAGATGCTCAACGGGTGATTAGGTCGTAAGACTGAACATTCAGGCGCTTAAGGGAGAAAAATCATTGTGTTCTGATTTCCTTTAATTTCTGCAATTTTGTGGTTGTTGTAAAATTCGATCCTTAGAATAACTTGTTTCGGGGCCTAACATTTGGCAATCGATCTCCTATTTGGCATGTTAACCTTGCTGTCCACTCTAATGAAAAGCACCAACGACGGACTTGTGGACTACAGGCAGAATTTGTAGGTCACTCGCAGAGCCATAAAGAAATGTTTATTGTCTTAATTGCTAAGGAGACGAGTTCGACGAATTGGGTATTAGAACGACAAGAGATTCACCTATGAAATCTGCATCTATGAATCAGAATAAGTGGCTAGATCCTAAATTGAAGCTAAATACCGAGCAATCATAACCCACTTGCTTCGAGAACATGGCATATCAATCACTCATAACGTAGGTGTGACATACTGATGTGCTAATTTTGTTATTCCGTTCACGAATGGAACACCTCATTATGAACTTCTATTTTGTTTGTGAGTAAGTTGCAAAACGATAGCTACATAAACACAGGGCATGCCTGGGAACGCTTTCTTCCAATTTTAAGCAATTAATTGACCTTTTTTACCGCAGAATTGAGCCCACTTTGGCAGCAAAACCTGACATTGTAAAAATGAACTACCGAAGAAACCCATATGTCATGCGAAATGAATTAAATATTAAGGGCAAAAACGTCATTCTATCATAAAATGGTTCAATATTGCGGCGGCCATGTCAGTCTTCATTGAAAAATTGTGAAAAGCAACGATCCATTTTTTACTTGACAACGATTGATATTGCAATTTTAAGTGTAACTAGACACGCACATAATGTTCGCACGAACAATTAGATAGCTGACTCACTTACTAGACATCTTTCTCTCATGCTAAATCTAAATAGATGCATGCTCAACCTTGTTGTAACACGATAAAAAATAATTTTACGAGCAATAATTGATTACACTTCTCATATAATCATTCGATTATTTTTAACTTCGTCTAGTCACTCTACCAAATATTGTCACTACGTGTATGGTTAAGCGAATCCAATAGGAATAGATAATGTTAAAAAAGTAATTTTAATTGAATATTTCATCCAAATGAACCCTCAAGGTTTACTGTGTGTTCACGGATCATGCATATGATGCCATAGGGCACTGCCGCCACAAAATTTGACCACCCAAAAAGAATATAGAAGAAAAAAAAGAAAAGGGAACGAGCCATTTACGCAGACAGAATGCATTATTGGTAACAAAATGGGATTTTGGACCACTTTACATCACAATTACAATGCATAAAAACAGCAAATTCTAGCATGCGGCCTGTCCTCACCCTATTTTTTTAAAACTTCCAAACCCTATTAATCCTACTCTTTGGATCACTTTTGGCTTGTTCCCTGCCTAAAATGAATTCATTTAATCGTTAGATTGCAGTTGCACCTCCTTTTTTACTCAAATTTGCTTTATCTACTGGCACCTATGTGAATGATGATTCTATATCAGTTGCATTAATTTCCGTTTTCGTCATTATTTTTTTAATGGCACCAGTTTTACTGTTCAAATCTGAATCAATTTTTGTTTCCTTTTAGCAATTGTCCACCGAGAAAAATAAAAAAAATAAAAATAAAGAAAGAAAGAATCTGGTAAATGAATCAACAATACAATCACTGGATTGTAAACAGACTATGTAAACCTGATGAGCTATTCAAGATTCCATGATTTAAACATTTAAGAGAATTCACAGTCTGCAAGCAACCTTGGCTGCTTGGGAGAGGAATCGAGAAGAAAACAACAGAAAACCTTGCACAAAATTTCCTTCATGTTCGACTACAATGAAAATGTAAACGACCTCAGTTTCTGATCTGAGAAATGGAGAACAGTTCTGATGGAACTTATGAGGATTCATTATAAAGTACACAAAGACTTCAGATGAGACACGAGCTAAATTGTCCAAATTATAAACAAATTTGATCTTAGCAGTACATAATCAATATATCCGGTTAACCTTAGAGAAATAACATTAGTCATACGAGGAGTATACCAAGTAAAAAAAAAAGCATATTCCTTTGCATTTTATAGCAAATTAAATAGGTGGTAATATTATTAATTCGCATGGAGCACACACTTTACATATGGATAAGTGCGAAAAGAATTAACTTGAGGCACATCTACTAACATGATCAATGGTAACCTCTCAATCTTCTATTCCGAATTAGAAAAATGCTACACGAATTTTTTACAGTTTTTATGACAGATTGCCAACTGGCAAGCATTCATTAAATGTTGGACTAAAAACAAATTTAAATCAGTCAATGCAATGTTGTCATCTGATCATTGGTAATGTTCTCTTGTCATTTTTATCTGTACAAACAACTTTATTCTCTGAATTAAATTAAACACTTCAATCTCTCTATATCGGTGCCTTCATTCGCTTTCCACTCTTAATACATATACATGCTCACATATAAAATGTATCATTAAAAGAATGTACATTCGCCGTGGTCATTATCATTTCCCCCTTGAGTTAGTTCGGAAGAAAGATACATCTGTCCCTTTTTTTCCCTCATCAGAGACAAAGGCAAAATTCATGATTGCTCACAATATCTATTGCAAGTAATAGGCACTATGCATTAGATGAGCATCTCTTAGTCTCTTACCATAGTATAGAGTACTACCTATTAATCCTTCAAAATATCATCCTTTCTCCCCCAAATGATCAAAGGGCGTATCCTTAAATACTGTAAGTGATAATCTCATGTCGGCTAATTATCGAAATATAGATCAACATATAAGAATTTGGAATACTCATCTTAATAAGATTAAAATCTTAAGAAGGAAACCGAGTCTTAAAATGGTATCAAAGCACATTAATTTTAAATGAGTAATTTTGCAGTGGTACATTAAGGAATAAATTTCACATCGATTAATTACTAAAATATAGACCTACATATAAGTGCTTAAACTATTTCTCTTAATAATGTTAACCTTTGAATCCCAAGTCTTGATAGATACTTCATGAACAATATTAGCACACTTCATTTTATCTAACTTCCTCAATTTTCCTAAAGAGAATATAATATTGATTGGCTAGTGTGTTCAACCAAAGTAGCCATAAACTATACTAAACTGCAATCGCACTCGATCTAAAAGTTTAACGAGTAGTTCGACATTTACTATAAACCAATAATTCATCCCAATATCAGATTTTGAGCATTCTTTAATTTGTAATTTTCAACATAAATACATAATCCACGACTGCTAATGGGAAAACGATCTTAACAATCAAAGCATTGGATCCCCAACTTAGTCCAGTATCCTTATAATTTAAGAATCCATGAAAAGTACTGCACAGCTATACATAAATATGGAGAACTAGAAGAAAATAGGTCCTAGAAAAGAAAAATCATAGGAAAACTGTAAGAAATATATGTATCCTTTTCCACAATGAGATGTCATTGTCTCCAAAACAATCTGTACTTCCTAAAGTAGAGAAATTTCAAACCTAACAAAAGTACCTAAACTCTTCTGTTTCTTACACAAGGTACCATATCTAGCAACCTATAAAAAGAACCTTTAATCTTGACCATATCGATGTACCTTAACCTACTTCAACATGAATAAAGTTATTTGTACAATATTTTGTTGAAAATTCATGTATTGTCAAGATTCATGCTGTTGATTTAAAAAATAGTTTTTAAAATGAATGGTATAAATACCAGCCAACTCATGGCTATCAACAAAGTTGTTAACCATGGTTGTACGGGTAGCAAGATCCAACATTTATGTGTGAGTGTACATATACATGTCTACTTGTGGTATATATGAATCACATGCATATTTTTCAGAAAAGATAGAACACAAGCATTTAGAATTTACTTCTTTCAATATCTTTATACAGGTCATATTCATCCTTGTCAATTTCAACTATTCTGGGTTCCAAAGGCCTTGCTTCCAGGTATGTGCATGTATTATTGTGAATTCTGTACGCATAAACATCTAAAGGAGAGAGAAAGAGAGAGAGAGAGTGTGTGTGTGTGTGTGTGTGAGAGAGAGAGAGAGTGTGTGTTTTGGATTCCAACGGCCTTGTTTCTAGGTTTCTTTGAAAGGGATCACAGGGTTAATGGTAGGATATTGCATGTATATCAAAATTTACATAATCGATTACATAATGTTACATGTAACTCTATCATTTGCCGGTTTAAAGCATAGTCAACTTTTTCATTCAATTTTTTCCCTTCTCATCATTTTATGTAATTTTTTATTTACCATTTATATATACAAATAGCATAATCCTTAATGGTATATGTATATATTACAAAAATAGTGTGTGTGTGTGAGAGAGAGAGAGAGAGATTTCTTCAACTGCACACTTTTGGGACAAGAATGTCAAGATGACATTTGCCAGTGCATGGAAGATTTGCAGTGCTGGACCGCCAACAGGCCGTTTCCTTATGGCTGGGGAATGATGCACGTAGCAGAACCAGCCAAAGAATATATAATTCTATACCTAACTATTTCGTCCTAGTTTTATGCGACAAACAAACTGATAACAAGGGAAAAAGGCATTATCAAGTTCAAAATCAACAAGAAATCCAATTGAAAAAAAGAGCCCAAATGAGAAAAGCCAATAAAGAATTTATACAATAATGTTTTTCAACACAAAACATGCAAACTGCACTTATCCAAATGCTACACAAATACCATCACCATTCCAAAAGCGCACACAGCAAAAGGGGTTATCGATCAAATAAACAGCATTAACAATTAAACATAAAGCATAATCATAATTAAAATTCGAACAAAATTAAACATCCCGAGTGTATTTGTAGGGCAAATAAGAAATGGACATTTACTAGAATAGAATTAAATAAGAATCTCTTAAGACATGTTTGGCACTTGTTACTACAATATTTTCAACTTTTTCGCTTATATACCAAACATGATGTTAATGTCCAAGTCCCTTTTAAAAGAGTACATAGTAATAGTAGTAACACTATACTACCACTTCTCAAGGTCTTGGTGGTGGGAAGAATTGCGTACCCGCCATGAAAGAGTTAAGAGGAGTCGGGTACATTGAAGGGTCAAGCATTGTCACACCCTGGTGGCTAGCGGTGGCTGCTGCAGCGGTGATGAGATCAAGTGGCTGTTGGGATCCGCCACAGCCAGAGGAGCTCTCCCCGGGATAGCGGCTTTCAGCGCCCTGATCGTAGAGAATTCCTTTGAAAACATGGCCTCCAATATTGACAGCCGTCTGGTAGGCATACTGCTCCTCAGCATCATCCATTGCACTCACTCTTACGCAGCGAAAAACAGCGGAAGAATTCACTTCTGCTGGAAAGTTCCCCAACTCAAACCCTAGTCAAAAACCAATAAAATAAGAACAAGCCGTAAAGATTCGTGAATTTGTTTCCTGAAAAAAGAAAACAAAAAATCTTCAAGAAAGAAAGTACTTTCACCAATCCTTGCGTCAGTTTTACTCTTCAATAGTAGAAGAAATAAAAGAAAAAGCAGGTGGTTGGTGGAGTGACCATATAGAAATTAGACTTCTTTCATCTCACGCAAATGATGTGTGTATGTATGGATCATATGCTTCGTTTGTTCTTACAACTACTTATCTATTTGAGAATTCAAAGTTGAAAACAAGAAACCCATCAAATCGATGGTGTTCATTTTTTCAAATCCCATTTTGTTTGTATTGAAAACTACAACATTACCTGACGTGGTGGTGGGTAATCGAGTAGTAGTGCAGGCAAGAGAAGAAGAAGCACCACCACCAGGATTCTCTCTCTGCCTCTTCGGAATTTCCCCTCTCAGTGTTAACTGGTGTTGATCTTGCACTTGTTGCTGTTGCGGTAAAGTAGCAAGCTGCTGTAGCTTCTCGCGCCTTTTAACAGCCGGAACCCAGGTGCTCTTGACGTGGGTTTGGCACTGAAATCCTCGGCTTTTGCAGCAAGTCCGGCACCTAATATGTGGGCAATCTTTCTTAGCTTGATTCCCACAATCTTGGCAATTCATACCCTCTCCCCCACCTCTTCCGTGCCTCATCATGACCCTAAACCCTGCTGCTGCCCCTGCTGATCTATAACTATAGTTCGAAGAGTCATCACCTGAAATATTATTACTCCTACTACTGGGTCCAACCGAGAAATCCACATCCAGATGATTTTGTTGTAGCTTTTGTTGATGCAACTGATAGTACTGTTGCCATAGCTCAAAACCCTTGCTATAGATCTCTTCGTTCTTGAACAGAAACAGGCTATTATTATTATCTTGATTGTGTTCTTGTTCTTGTTCTTGTTCTTGATCCTTACCACCTAGTGAGAAAAACCCAGACATTTTCTACCCCTACAAGCTATATCCAACGTCAATTTTAAGACAAAATCCATAGCCAAAAAACCTCAGCCTAGCCAGTGTATGTATGTGAGATAGAAAGAGAAACTGGACTGATATATACTACATAGTATAGATGAATATGTGAATGTATTGAGTGTGCGAGTGTTTTGTGCTGCTAACTCTACTGACTGACACACTCTCACTGTGTGATTTTTTGGGGTTTCGTTATCTTTTAGCAGCTTTTGAGGACAAATTTTTGGAATTTGTTAAGGCAGGAATGGAATGGAAAGATAAATTCGTTGGCTCCCTCTTGAATTCAATTTTGTCTTTGTTTTCGATTTCGATGCATTAAAGTCACAGCCCTGCAAACGCCGCCATCAGCCACTGCAACCTCAATTTAAAGACATCCCACAGTACTATTTTACCTCTGCCCCCGTTCCTCCTCTCTCTCTCTCTCTCTCACATACACTCTCTCTCTCTCTCTCTCTTTCTGTGTGTGAGACTGGTTTTAAGCACAAAATCTTGCCAATTCTTCCACTGTTGTCTTGCAGTTTGCAATAAAAACCTCATCAAAAAAAGAGTCAAAAGACTGAATCCCAGTCCTTGAGTAATGATCCAACGGTCGAATTTCATCCACGTGGCAACTCAACAGCTTTTGCTTAATCGTCCCCGCACCAGAAAACGCGCTATACAAATTTTTTTTTTTTACCAAGTTCGTATAATTTAACTAATCTAAATGAGGAAAACTTTCAGTACCAATTATGAGGGTTGTCACGAAATGTAAATGTCACGGTCCTTGAATTTTCTTCTCTTCAAAAAGTAATAAATATTACTCACTCCGTCCCAATTATATTGGCTAAGTTTTTTTTCTCTTTTGTTCCAAATATATAGACTGTTTCCTAATGTAGAATATTTTGTTGTGTTCTTTTATTAATATACCTTTATTAAATTTTCCCCACTTAATATGCAAACATCTTGAAAATTCAAATTCTTTATGAATTCCAACAATAATTTAGTTTTACCAACTGAAAATTAAATACTAATGTAGAATATTTTGTTGTGTTCTTTTACTAATATACCCTTATTAAATTTTCCCCACTTAATATGCAAACTTCTTGAAAATTCAAATTCTTTATTAATTCCAACAATAATTTAGTTTTACACACTGAAAATTAAATAGGGGTAACCTATGAAAGATTTTGACAAATATTAATTTTCCTATGACATTAAATAACATTTCTTAATCCGTGTGAAAAACTAAACAAATCTATATAATTGGGACGGATGGAGTATGAGTTATTTACATAATGTGTCTCCATTTTCTATTGATTTGTCGAATAATTCCTCCTCGCGAATAGACATAACCCCTACTCTCATCTTGAAACACTCCTCACGTATTCATAGAAGATCAGAGTATGCTCGTCTTCGAGTACTCTTTACTATTTGGGTTGGTTTTTAATGGCTTGTTTTTGGCTTAATTCTAGTACTCAAGTAAATAATTCTCTCTCTAATCATATTAATTTTGACATAATTTTTTCATTAAAATTTGTTTTAAATATTTGAGAGAATCAACGGTGAATGTGTAGAGAGAGAGAGAGAGAGAGAGAGAGAGAGAGAGACTCTATATTAAGAGTCTATTTTAAGGTCAACCCCTATGTCTATTTAACTTTACAAATGATGTAATGTTTCCCAATACGAGGATTATATGTACAATTATGTTGAAGTGCCCGAAAATGGATGACCGAATGGGTGATCGACCCTCACATTCCGCGTGGGTCCCGAGTGAATAAAATAATTCCCGACCCTTGAGGTGTGTTTTCGATCATCTCCTATATTGCTACAAGAGGTGTGTTTTCGATCATCTCCTATATTTGTGTAGCATGATTCTTATATGTATATTCAGCCACAAGAATCCGTATGTACCATTTGATACATCAATGTCATAAAAAGTACTAGCTTGCCCCAAAGATATATTATATAGGTAAAAATTGCATCACCATATTCATGCAATAATACAATATTAACAACAAGTGAAATATTAGAGCTAATTACAATCAATATTAATCTTAATCCAACTTCTCTTGAGTGCAAGAAAGAGCTTTCGTGTTTTTGAACATCTTAGGAGTCATGACAAAATCTTCAATGTTTTTTTCAATCAGGCAACTCTTGGTTGAGGATGCTGAGGCAATGACATGATGGAATGGATTGACTTTGGCTAGGGATCGTGGCCCCCATATTGTTGTAACCGAGTACGATGAGTGTTGAACAACCTCAAAGTGTGCTCCTAAATGCTTCAATTTTACTTGATATATTTCTTTGTTACATGTTATATACTGTGATCCGATAATTTTATTTACCGAGAGAAAAATAAATTTATCCATAATAGCATCTAATACTTGTGTCTGGGGTGACTGTCTTCCGTGTTTTACTTCAGTCGTGGTGATTTGATTCGATTCAATAACATCGATTATGATTGTTTTCAAATAATAAAAAAAAAAAGGAATAAAGATGATAATAATTAACAAATACACACATTTACCACTTCTTGGAAACATGAAACAACTCTCATTTTTTTTTTTTCAAATTCTTTATTAATTCCAACAATAATTTAGTTTTACATACTGAAAATTAAATAGGGGTAAACTAGGAAAGATTTTGACAAATATTAATTTTCATATGACATTAAATAACATTTCTTAATCCGTGTGAAAAACTAAACAAGTCTATATAATTGGGACGGATGGAGTATGAGTTATTTACATAATGTGTCTCCATTTTCTATTGATTTGTCGAATAATTCCTCCTCGCGAATAGACATAACCCCTACTCTCATCTTGAAACACTCCTCACATATTCATACAAGATCAGAGTATTCTCGTCTTCGAGTACTCTTACTATTTGGGTTGGTTTTTAATGGCTTGTTTTTGTCTTAATTCTAGTACTCAAGTATATAATTCTCTCTCTCTCTCTCTCTCTAATCATATTAATTTTGACATAATTTTTTCGTTAAAATTTGTTTTAAATATTTAAGAGAATCAACGGTGAATGTAGAGAGAGAGAGAGACTCTATATTAAGAGTCTATTTTAAGGTCAACCCCTATGTCTATTTAACTTTACAAATGATGTAATGTTTCCTAATACGAGGATTATATGTACAATTATGCTGAAGTGTCTGAAAATGGATGACCGAAGGGGTGACCGACCCTTACATTGGGCGTGGGTCCCGAGTGAATAAAATAATTCCCGACCTCCGAAGTGTGTGTTCGATCATCTCCTATATTCGTGTTCTTATATGTATATTCAGCCACAAGAATCCGTATGTACCATTTGATATATCAATGTCATAAAAAGTACTAGCTTGCACCAAAGATATATTATATAGGTAAAAATTGCATCACCATATTCATGCAATAATATAATATTAATAACAAGTGAAATATTAGAGCTAATTACAATCAATATTAATCTGAATCCAACTTCTCTTGAGTGCAAGAAAGAGCTTTCGTGTTTTTGAACATATTAGGAGTCATGACAAAATCTTCAATGTTTATTTCAATCAGGCAACTCTAGATTGAGGGTGCTGAGGCAATGACATTATGGAATGGATTGACTTTGGCTAGGGATCGTGGCCCCCATATTGTTGTGACCGAGTACGATGAGTGTTGAACACCCTCAAAGTGTGCTCCTAAATGCTTCGATTTTACTTGATATATTTCTTCGTTATATGTTATATACTGTGATCCGATAATTTTATTTCCCGAGAGAAAAATAAATTTGTGCATAATAGCATCTAATACTTGTGTCTGGGGTGACTGTCTTCCGTGTTTTACTTCAGTCGTGGTGATTCGATTCGATTCAATAACATCGTTTATGATTGTTTTCAAATAATAATAATAATAAAGGAATAAAGATGATAATAATTATTCTTTAATGATTTTTGAAGGTAGTTAATTAAAATATAAGAAGAGTTTAGGCTTCACCTCCAACTCATCCATTGCCGATTTTCTTGACTTATTACAAGGAACCACATGCCTTGTTTTGTTGTGGCTGACAGACGATATAGAAATTCATGCGATTGTGGATTCTATGTTTTATTCGTAAAACTCAAAATCAAATTGTCTAGATCAATTTTTTTGTATTTTGATTATTTTCAATGGGGGTATTATAATTTACTTTTGTCATAATATTGACTTTTTTCCCCCAACAAATTATTTTTTTCAAAGCACTCTTTGATTTTTCCCCCAAACAATGCATTTTCTTGTTGGTACTAATTACTCAACTTATTTGCTTGCTTAACCATGCCCTCCTATATCCCCTCTAGCACTAGCCTTTAGATAAATCTTTCAAAAGGGTCTTCTAATGGTCAAGTTGGAAAATGTCCGCTAGCTTAATTTTTATTTAAAAAATCGACTTTTCGGAACAAAATGACTACTTTATCCTTATCAAAAGAGAACTTCTCGATGCCCATCTTTCAAAATTTTATATTTTCATCATATTATTCAAGAAAGTTCGAAAAGGGTAAGAAAAGAAAAGGGGGAATGGGATGGGAAGCAAGGGCAGAGAAAAGCGAAGAAGAGAAGGACCCCATTGGGGAATTGGCATGGAGGGAAAGCGTAAGGGAAGGAGAAGCACGATGGCTGGGGATGGAGATATAGAGGAAAAGTATTGCGAGAGCGGCGTGAGAAAAGTAAAAGAGAAGATAATCAGCATATCCTAAAATTAATACGTATCACCTTTGATACAATGTTAAAAACTGACACATTTTAGTAATATAAGCTCCTGCTTGATCTCTATTTTTTTTCTCTTCTTTTTGATTACATATTTTTCAATAAAATAATATTACACGTGAATTCAAAAAAATTTCTTTATTTTTTAATCACACATTTTTCATCAATATACTATTTTAAAATACATTTTATACAAAAATAAAATGTGGCTCAAACCGACCCTCAAAAAATATCCTACACTAATTGCTTTTGTCAATTTTTTATAGCCATGAATAA